ACTTGCACTACCACTACCACCACCCTCACGACTTCAACGGCTGCAGCTGCTGCAGCGGTTCCCGTGCTAGTATCACTGCTATGTCTCTGCACTGTTATTTCTGTTTCCCTTGATCATTGACGTTCTTTTTGCTGTTGGCTACGGCGACGGTCATTGTCAATATGAAGAGTTTACTTGCTTCATAGCCTTTCGAGTAAAACTCAGTCGCAAGAAAGCGCATTTAGTTTAGGACAAGACACCATTTTCACGCACAGCCGCAGAAAGATGGAGTCCTCAAGCCAGTGAGGCTTGGTGACCTTGGCCGTCCTCAGCCCTGTGACCTGGCCGTATGCCGTAACACCTCGGCGGCCAGGGCCTTTGTTGGACTGTGGCGATCTTGTGGTGGTAGTGGCATTGGTCTTAAGACGATGGCGCCATTTTGGAGAAGAAGGAGCTTCGGTGGGCTTAGGCTATTTGGGCTTGAACTCGCTCGCAATTCTGCGAAGTAGGGGCTCTCTCATTGACGTTGGAGATCCGCCATCGGGACTCAGTGATTAGGACTCTCGTGGAGGATCTCCCCGGCCCCCGAGGCTCAAAGAGCGACATTGCGGAGTGGCCTCCTCAGAGGCAGAGTGCGGCAGCAGGGCTGAGATCGCTGGTTTGTTGGAGACCGCTGGCCTGTAACTGCGTAACCGTTCGCTGGGGGCCTCGCAATCGCCTCCTTGAAGGAACAGTGTTCCTGAGCCAAGGAAGAGCAAGTGCCACCACCGGCAGGGCAGTGTGAGGCACCCTCCGTGTCGCAAGAATGTTCCCAGGCAGCGAAGAACTGAACATGACTGTTCCGCATCAGTTGCTGCAGACCATTCACGATTCCACGATCATGGCCATGCCACATGTGGGAGGTGACGATCCTGCATATCAGTGACACGCACAACTTGCACCGCTCGATGGCAAAGGCTGCCATCAAATAAGCAATTCGTGCTGCGATCTCCTAGGCCTGCAACAGGGGGGCTTTGCAGTTACAAGTGCCACGGGTGACACGCCAGTGGTACGAGTACGAAGTCGGACCAAGATGACGAGCAGGTGGCTTCAAGCAGAAACTTCATGAAACTTCTGTACATGGGAAACATGTTTACAGTATCCTTTGTGTCCGGCACACAGGAATTCCCAATGCCACGCGCCGACATCCTGCTGCACACTGGAGGTTGCGCCAGAGTTCAGATTTCACTTGCTCTGTCATACATGTGTACATGTCTCTGTGTGTGCGCTGCCTCCACTGATCAGACCAGATATCCTCAAAACATCCGCCAAGCAATAGCTTTCAGCATTTCATTGACACTCTGCCGCGAGACATCTCCGACCATGGAGATGATGCAGAGATCGCAGATTTCAACGAATGGCTAGGCGGGGGCGCTGCGGTAAGGGCTAAGGCTCCACTGACTCTACTGCACTTGAAAATTAGAAAGCTCAGTGTGTCGCAAGGCGAGATCAAGCACCACTACAAGTACGGTGTGCTTTTGATTTCAGGCAGGCAGGGATCAAGAGACGGGCTTGCCTTCAAGACAGGAGCACCATTTCAAGAGTCATAAGAGTCCTAATGCTGAGTGGACGCAGTTCTGCTTCAGTCATTGGACATGTCCGTTGCGCTGACAGATTGGCTGCCAACAGACCCCGGCAGGCAATCACGATTGGATGTCTCAGCTGGGCCGCGTTCAAGCATGGCAAGCCGAGCCCGAGGCACCTGGGCATCCGCCCTTCTTGACTGCCGGCCTTCGCGTACTCATTGATCTGTCTCATGTGTTATACTCATTAGTTTGTACCGGTGTACCTGGTCGTATATGATTGCATGTGTGTATCCGTCCGTACATGACGATTGATTTGTCTATGCCTATGCTGGACTTCATGTTTACATACAGAAGCATACATACAGTTGTATACACACATTCGTACATAGCAGTATGCGCAGCAGCAGCAGCAGCGGCGGCGGCGCCGCCGGCGGCAGCGGTAGTACCAAGCAGTAGAAGTAGTAGCCGATGGTAGCAGTAGTATTGGTTGGAGGAGGGGTGGTGGTAGTAGCAGGAGGAGGAGCAGGAGCAGGGTCACCCTCTAGTCGTCGTCGAACCAGTAGCAGTGGCAGCAGGAGAAATTAGTGGTAGTAGTAGTAGTAGTAGTAGTAGTAGTAGTAGTAGTACTAGGGTTGCCCCCCCCGGTGCGACGCCCAAACCTCTTATTTTTGGGACTTGCTGTGGTCGGAAATGCTTTTTTTTACAGCACTTTTCTTCCGCAGTTATCGAAAGTGGCAACTGTTCCTGGTTTCGTGTGTATTTTTATCATATTTTCTAATATTGTTCATCAATCTCGCACCCGAAAATGCTGGTGTTTACAGCACTTGTCTTTGCGAATTTCATGATCTTTTACTGTTTTTGGGTGTCTCGATTTTCGTGCCCAAAACCTAGCGATCAGAATCAAGGTTTTTTGGGCCTCATTTTGATCATGATTTTCATTCAAATCGTTGGTTTGGAGAGCATCCATGTCCAAAACCTAATGACGTCCATGGTCTAGCGCATTTTGGTCTGGAGAGCATCCATGTCCAAAACCTAATGACGTCCATGGTCTAGCGCACTTGGGTTTGGAGAGCATCCATGTCCAAAACCTAATGACGTCCATGGTCTAGCGCATTTTGGTTTGGAGAGAATCCATGTCCAAAACCTAATTGACGTCCATGGTCTAGCGCATTTGGGTTTGGAGAGCATCCATGTCCAAAACCTAATGACGTCCATGGTCTAGCGCATTTGGGTTTGGAGAGCATCCATGTCCAAAACCTAATGACGTCCATGGTCTAGCGCATTTTGGTTTGGAGAGCATCCATGTCCAAAACCTAATGACGTCCATGGTCTAGCGCATTTTGGCTTGGAAAGCATCCATGTCCAAAACCTAATGACGTCCATGGTCTAGCGCATTTTGGCTTGGAGAGCATCCATGTCCAAAACCTAATGACGTCCATGGTCTAGAGCATTTGGGTTTGGAGAGCATCCATGAACATGTTGTACATCCACGAACTCAGCGACCGGCGTCGCACCAGGGGGGGAATGCCTAGTAGTAGTAGTAGTAGTAGTAGTAGCCGATGGTAGCAGTAGTATTGGTTGGAGGAGGGGTGGTGGTAGTAGCAGGAGGAGGAGCAGGAGCAGGGTCACCCTCTAGTCGTCGTCGAACCAGTAGCAGTGGCAGCAGGAGAAATTAGTGGTAGTAGTAGTAGTAGTAGTAGTAGTAGTAGTAGTAGTAGTAGTAGTAGTAGTAGTAGTAGTACTAGGGTTGCCCCCCCCGGTGCGACGCCCAAACCTCTTATTTTTGGGACTTGCTGTGGTCGGAAATGCTTTTTTTTTTTTTTACAGCACTTTTCTTCCGCAGTTATCGAAAGTGGCAACTGTTCCTGGTTTCGTGTGTATTTTTATCATATTTTCTAATATTGTTCATCAATCTCGCACCCGAAAATGCTGGTATTTACAGCACTTGTCTTTGCGAATTTCATGATCTTTTACTGTTTTTGGGTGTCTCGATTTTCGTGCCCAAAACCTAGCGATCAGAATCAAGGTTTTTTGGGCCTCATTTTGATCATGATTTTCATTCAAATCGTTGGTTTGGAGAGCATCCATGTCCAAAACCTAATGACGTCCATGGTCTAGCGCATTTTGGTTTGGAGAGCATCCATGTCCAAAACCTAATGACGTCCATGGTCTAGCGCACTTGGGTTTGGAGAGCATCCATGTCCAAAACCTAATGACGTCCATGGCTAGCGCATTTTGGTTTGGAGAGAATCCATGTCCAAAACCTATTGACGTCCATGGTCTAGCGCATTTGGGTTTGGAGAGCATCCATGTCCAAAACCTAATGGCGTCCATGGTCTAGCGCATTTGGGTTTGGAGAGCATCCATGTCCAAAACCTAATGACGTCCATGGTCTAGCGCATTTTGGTTTGGAGAGCATCCATGTCCAAAACCTAATGACGTCCATGGTCTAGCGCATTTTGGCTTGGAAAGCATCCATGTCCAAAACCTAATGACGTCCATGGTCTAGCGCATTTTGGCTTGGAGAGCATCCATGTCCAAAACCTAATGACGTCCATGGTCTAGAGCATTTGGGTTTGGAGAGCATCCATGAACATGTTGTACATCCACGAACTCAGCGACCGGCGTCGCACCAGGGGGGGAATGCCTAGTAGTAGTAGTAGTAGTAGTAGCAGCAGCAGCTGCTGCAGGAGTAGTGGTAGCAGTAGCAGCACCAGCAGCAGGAGCAGGAGCTGAAGCCGTCGTCGTCGTCGTCGTAGAAATGGTCGTAGGGAGTGATGGGGTGACCACCCTCAGTAGCAGCTGCAGCAGCAGTTCTGGTTGTCGTCGCTGCAGTGGTTTTCGGAGGCAGGCTGCACGTCAGTGCACGCGGACAGCAATCAATTGTGCGAGTGATAGTTCATCGGACGGAGTAGGCCCTGCATCACTGGGTCACCAGGTCCTCCAAAAGTATGTCGTCTGTGACGCTACGATACTTGAAGCAGAGCAGATAGGCTTCTTGTCCAGATCGTGACCAGAAGACATTGATACTGTAGACTGGCCTTGTTAAGATCTTTTAAGCCGATTTTGCTGCAGCTATTGTGCCGAGGTGCTGCTTTATCCGAAACACCTGCTCGTGCCTCAGGCAGTTGAGATGTAAAGAACTATCTTCGAATGCCGATCGTTTTTGGGAGCCTTCTGGCATCTAAACCTGTCAGTCGGGTAATCAAACCGTCCTCTGACCCTCTGCCTCGCTCCAACTAGGGATCCTACTATTGAGGGTACTATATTAGGGTCCCCTATCTTCGGAAACTCTAAACCCTATACCCTTTATAGAACCCTTATAGATCCCTTTAAGGAGCCCTTAAAGGATCCCTTTAAAGGGTCCCCTAGTGTCCTGCATCGATGAGAGGGGATAGCTCTGGACCTCCACCGTCGCTCCAGTCGTCTGCAGCTCATGGCTGTCATAGCTCATAGCAAGTCGGGTAAGCACCGGGTCACCAAGGCAGGACAAAGTGCCGAATGCCCGAGTGCTACACCACGAGCTTGTGGAGGCCAATGCCGCGAAGCCCGATGAAAGAGTTGCATGGCACGTCTACAGCCTACAGGAGAGGACTGCTTATGTGCCAGGTTGCGGGAGTCAGGATTTTCGGATCAGATTGGCCGAGCCCTCGAGTTTGTGCTTGCGGAATGTTTATGAGTCCACCAGAACTACACTTGAGAATAATTCACAAAGCAATTGCGAGAGGACCGGGGACCAGTTATACGAGTTCGCGACAATCATCATAGCAAACATCACGTATAGGCTCTCCGAAAGATTGTAACTATGGCTCGAACAAATGTTGTTCAAACTACCGCGGTGGGCTTGAGAGAGGGTGTCAGATCCACGGACGCAGTACGCAATGTTGCAGACACGAGAAGGCGCCCAGGTCGGAAGGCTCAGAGTTCGACCAGGCTGGGACAATTTTCTGAAACAACTACAAGGAACAGTGGCTGGCCTTTTTTTCTTTACTGCATTTGGCCTGGCCACTGCTTCGGATACAGCATTGCCATGTCGGTCTGGTACCTGGTACGGAGGGTGACGTCTATGATCCCTGGTTTCGGCTCTCCCCGTGTGCTGCTTTGCTTGCTCTTGAGCTTGTACGCATGGCACGGCAGCGTAGCGTCTGAGATCCAGAAATGTCCAGCATGGATTGGACTGCAGATGAATCCCTGAATTTGTGGGTTGAATTTCAGGCTGTGCAATCGGGGCTGTGCAATCGGACCCTCTACGGCTTAAGCAACACTTATGGCCGGCGTGCTCCGTCAGACCCAAGTGACATGCCCTTCGCAAGCCATTCGCCGGCGGATGCCATGAACGGACCTTTCGGATCATGCTATCATACAGTACTGGAAGCCTGATTAGACTGAGTATCACAAGTTATGATGCTCCGCTTCGACTTCGATGTTCGGTGCCCATGGCGCTGCAGATACCGATCCCAGCAGGTATGCTTGCATACAATGCTCATGACCCCGCAGGTTGCCTCCGAAAGGCCAGGGTTTTCCAGTTCATGTTCGTTTCCGATGTTCGTTGCCAATGGCTGGTGTAGAATGGTGCAGCCACCGGCCACAACACATGTAATGATCTGTGCGCAGGATTGCCTTTGAGGGGCAGTGAAGTGTCCTGCAAAACAAGCGGATGGGGGTGCAGGACTGCTAGAGCACCCGGCACGCAGCCAGCTTCGAGCGAGATACCACAGCATGCACTCAGGTGCCCATGGTTTGGGTATGCAGCTCCTGGAGATTGGTGGTGTGCTGGCAAAATGGTTTGCTTAGGGTGGCTCTTTCGGAGTTCTCAGTGATGTTGGGTTGAGCGCCATTGTTCGCATGTGATATACGTTGTGTGCCCGTCGGGCTTAGTTTGCAGTACTTCCACCAATTCCATGATTCAGCCGTTAGCCTCCTCCTAAGAATGAAGACTTGCAGATCATGCGGACTGAGTTCTTTGTGCAATGCATATGCAAGAACGCTCTTACTGCACGTGCTCGTGTCGGCTTTGGGTCCTCAGTTTTCCGATTCCACAAGGACGGGACCCTAATATAGTAGTCTAAATAGTAGTAAATAGTAGGATCCTTTTATTAAAAAGACCCCAAAGTAAGGTACCTCTAACTTTCGGAAACCACCTGGACCCACGAACTTGCCCAAACCTACACCACCAGCCACACCACCAGCCCTTCAGCAACTAACCAACGAAGCTAAAGAACGCTCAGACATGCTCACACCTTTTCCCGTGCTGCCTGGCCTCAGGAATATGGAGTGGACACAAGCAAGGTTCCTTGTCGCAGAAAGGAGATTCTGCACCCTGTGATTAGAGCAGGGAGGTCTAGTACCCAGAAAGTTTTTGGTCGGCTTGGCTTTGGGATTATCTTTCCGCCCGTTGCACTTAGAGTTCCACGACGGCTTCTTTCCGAAGTGGTTGGGAACGCGAGAGTTCAGAGTTATTAAGGCCGAGAGCAAGGCGGGCAGAGAAAGACAGCAACAGCTTGCTTCCTTAATGGGGACCCCTACCCTATAATGGGCTATAGAATGGGTATATAATAGCTATATTAAGGGTATATACCTAGGGGTCCACAATGAATTTCCAACTGTGAATTTCTTCTAAAGTGGTTTGGTTCAGGAATCCGTGTCGTCTTCCACGTTAATCGAAGGCAGCGCGTCTTCGCCGCCTGGAAACAGCAGGCACGAGTTAAGATGGGTCAAGTGTTCTCTGAGGTATACATGATGAAAGAGCTGAGCATAAAGACCTGGCACGAACGCCTTGGAAAGTCAACTGCAGTCATGTGGCTGAGTTTATGGCTGCGCATGATGAGCTGTTTGTCATAGCGCCGGTTGGTCCAAGTCGAAGCGGCTTTTGCGCATTTCCGGCAATGAACCAAGAGCCACGTTCTGTACAAGTTTGACAGGCCTTGAGAAATGGCAGCAGTGATCCAGTTCCGACGCCTGTGCCCAAGCCCGTGGACGAGGGGATTTGCAATGAAAGCAGGGGGGATGGTGGGGCTTCGAGTCGAGTGGCTCTGACTGAGCTTCGTGCTAGATGGCCAGGTTTCACACGACACCTATCTAACAGCAGCAGTGCAAGCAATACTCCGGCAAGGCAAGACTGACTCGTGGGTTAACCGATGTTAAAGTCTAGAAACTGTTAAACGTATTGAAACAATGCAGAGAGTGGCTCACGCGGAGACTCTTTAGCAGTCGAAGACTTGGAGTGATGGATAGCGACGGCCCTGCCCAGCGAGCTCAGCGAAGCAGGCTTCTGGCCGTTTTACCCGGAAGCTGCCACCGAAGTAGCGACAACAGCTCTGAGCCCTTGGTGCTCGTTTGGCGAACTGCCCATGTTGAAAGCTTCAACTTCGACTGAATTTGAATTAACTCAGGCTTGGAACATTGTTCGAGCTGAACCCCCCAACCCCTCTAGCCAACGTGGAAAAACTTCCTGAGCCGCACAGTCCCACCGATGGATTGTCACGAAAGCTAGCTCTGTGGAGCTCGCGGGAGTTGCCCTTTAGCAATTCACTTGTATTAAGGCACTAGGGAAAAAACAGGGTTTGCACCTTATCAGGTGGGACGTCCAAGAGTTAAGGTGGGGGGTAGGGGGGGGGGAGGGGCCCCCCCCCCCTTCACCTTGTCATTGTGCGTTTTCCACTGATAAGGTGCGCTTCCCTCCCCCCCCCCTCCCCCCCTCCTTTAAGGTGGTTGTGCCTGGGATAAGGTGGAGGGGGGGGGGGGGCCCCCTGTGCCGATACACCCCCAAGGGATACTCCTTGTGAGGAGGTGTATGACCAGTTATTCCCTAAGGATCAAAGGGCAGCGCCCTGCACACGGACAGTAGTTGTTTTGTCTTGCTACGCAAGGAGAGCTTGTCTTGTCTCAATATGGTAAAACCACTGTGAGCCAATGGGCAGCGGAATGTATATGTATGAGCATGCAGCCATTGCTGTAGGTACCTGTTAGAGCTACCCCTTTAGAGGTTTATGGTTTCAAACAGACACTAATTTTCTTTTACCGGAAGCATGGCCGCACATTCACACATATACTATTATGCCCACTGTCACAGTTGCGGAGTTTGGACTCATGATAAAAACAGCATATTATTTATGCTAGGTATAGCACTGAAGTACACTGCTGAGGACACTCCACTCATTTTGCACACACACTCATGCATGTTGGTCAGAGAGATCATCTGTACAAGATCATGTCTGGTGATGTTTTCTACATCGAATTATGCAGCCTTTCACTTTGCTCTTGTTAGAGCTTTGTGAGTCACTGTTGTGAAACTCTGAGATTCTCTTATCTCAGATTTGGATCCAGGTTTGGATCATAGGCTCGAGCGTAGACGTTCGGATGTGGCTCATCCGGGTCTGAGTGGTCTTCTTCGGAACTTGAAAAGATTCCGAGTAATCTGTTCTCAGCCCTGGTGAAGGCGGCGTCTGCAGTATCATATCCATGGTTGGATGTAGTCGCCTTTGGCTCGGCCTTTGGTGCAGCTTGTGAGCTGACTGGAGTTGCCTTGGCTTTAGCCGGTTGCGGCTGCTTAGCCTTTGCCCGTTCGGCTCTTCTTCTTTCAAGCTGTCCGTCTGAGGACGCCCATGATCTTTCGCTTTCATCTCCTGAAGGAGATAAGGCGTGGGCATAAAGGCTATTCCAGTACTGTGGTGCAGAGGGAGTTAGGACTTCTTCATTGTCAGACTCTGACTGGTCTTCCTCAGAGCTTTGGTCATCAAAAAGTGTCTCGAGGACATTTTTGAGATTGTTATTTCTTCGCTCTATCTCTAGTGAGGAATGGACCAATTGGTTAAAGACTGTCCTTGAGTCCTTCAGTGCTGTTAGAAGGATTTCCACTCTGGATAGAGTATCTTGGATGGTGTCAAGATGTTCCTTTCTTTCCTCCTTGTCTCTCTGGATAGAGCCTCGCAATGCTTGTGCGATTCTGAGGAGGTCTGTGTATTTCGCAAGAGGCATAGTTACCGTTTGATTGTCATGTATGACAGTTGTTTCGTCGCCGCTTAAGTTCCTGAATAGGACTTCCACGACTGGTAGGAACTCCGTGCTCCACGGTTCCTCTTCATCATATGTTTCTACGTGCTGTAGCACGCGTTGTGTAAACTGGCCGGCTGCTTCTACCGTTGCATCGATAGAGCTGACGTGTCTTGCTACTATGTTTCGGCACGTAACGTTAATTGCCTGGCCTTGATTGGCTTCGTCAAGTGCAGCGTCTGCATAGGTGCAGAGTCCACTGTTGTGGGCTTCTCTAGCTGCCTTTCGTTGAATGCGCCGATTTTGACCTCCTCTTCTGGTAGGACCTTTTGGTCTCGGAGGATCTGAAGGTACTGTTCCTTTCGCCTTTGGCGGAGGACTCTTAGGTGGAGGTGACATGTTTGCCTTGTTAGGCCCTGGTGGCATTGCCTTGGGCGCTGATGACGATGCGGCACTTGAGAGTGCAGATGTACCTCTGGCCTTTGCCGAGGATCCCTTGGGGATCGATGTATAGGTAATCTGCATGGCTTCTTCGGCCATTTGTGCATGCAAGGCATCCTTGAATAATTGTGTCATGTGAGGAGTGTTACTTGCATCATCGTAGGTCTGGAAGCGCTCAATGTCTCTTTCGGTGCCACGTGGTCGTGTATCACCTCTTTGGAAAGGATCGTTCCTGCGAATCTCCGCAACTTGTACTGCATGGAGGCAGTTTTTGCACAGCACCTTTTTGCAAACATCTCTTGCTTGCTTGAGCTGGTAACAGCTGTCTGAGAGATGGTAGACTTCGCTTCGGGAAGTATGCCAGATAGGTCGCAGATCAGTTGTTTCTCCGGAATTGACCCTGTTGGGTCCTAAAGGTTCACGCGTCTGCGGTTCATCCTCGGGTTCGAGGAATGGAACTCTTTGGTTCGCTGCTGCTTTTGATTTTGGTTGTTGGCGCTCCATACATCTGATAGGAGGCCTGGTAATCTGCTTCCACATCCAGTGTAAGCCCATTAGCAGCAGGAACACATTCCACGCGATGCTGAAGACGGAGAAGTCTTGCTCACTGGTTAGTGAGTCTGGAAGTGAAGTTTCATCAGTCTTGATAGACTCTGCGTTTGCTCCACCTCGGTTGCGGTGTCCGAACCAGCCCGACAATCCCGCTGCTGTAGCAGCTGTTCTGAGTGCCTTGCCGCTCGGAGCAGACGGTGGACGCGATGCCTTCCTTCTTCTTCTCCGGCTGGAGGATTCGTCCTCTTGTTCCTCTTCATCTCTCTGAGCAGACATCAAGTTTGATGTTTCTCTTTCGTGTTCTTCGATGTCACTTTTTGTTGGTGACGGTTCTTCTTCTAGTCCATCCAGCTCTTCCAAAGACATGTTGAGCTTGTCAACAATATTGGTTCTTTGAGGCCTGGACCTTGATCTTGGTAGATCTTGTTGTGAAGAGGACGATGATTCCTGGTTCCTTCTTGGAGGAGGACCTTCAGGCTCGCTGGGACGTTCAGGCTGTGGCCACTCCCAGAATCTTCCATATCTGTGATGGCTACCTGATGGTTGCGATTTGTCGTACCAGCTGTTGCCGGATGAGTAAACGAATGAATCGTTGTAACCCCAGTATTCAGCATTACGCTGCTTGTAAGCCTTTCGCTTGTCAGCGATCTTCTGGACCTGGGCATCTGACCGGTTGTGTTTCCCTTTTGTAAGGATTGGTTGTATCGTGAAGCCCAAAGGGCTGTGCCAATCTTTGTCAGAGGGACTCAACCATAGGTCAAGGTTAGAAAAAGTTGAATAGTACTGCTTGACTGAGACAAACAGACGGATATCAATATCCCTGTTGTTGTTCGTGTCCTGCCACATATCTGAGATTCGTTCCCAGTATGTTCTTTCGGCGGCAGGTGTGACCTCTCTTGGACTAGGTGACGCCGTGTGCGGCGTTTTACTCCAGTCAAGGATATAACTGTTGATACAGTCAAGGTCAGCAACTTTCTTCGCCGGGTCCGCCGGTAGACGATCTGCACGTGCCAGTCTGTGCTGGTCGGAGTTGTTCAAGCAAAGATGTCGCACTTGTGAGTGCCTTCCTGCTATTTTGTTGAATGCTGCAAGTTTCTTCTCCAGGTATAGAGAAAACAAACTGTTTCGCGGGTGAACGTCTCCACCTTTTAAGGTGAGCCTCGACGCAATATTATTGAGATCTCCCGCTATTACATCCGGTTTAAAAGGGAGAATCTCGTTGAGGAACGCGTTCACCAGTTCGCGTCTCTGTTCTTCCTTATGAGTCATGAATGAGTTGAAATGGACGATCGCGATGGTGATGACCTTGTAAGGCCCTTTTGTACACCACATCTCGTCAAGATCGTTCGATGCTTCTTGTGAGAAGATCTCTGCGTATGACTCAAAGTCTTCCTCTGGTGGCTCATCACCCTCGACATGGCCGTTCCATTCACAGAGAATCGGCGAGGGGTCGAGGTTCGACAATGTCAGGCACGCCTCTGGTGAGAGGTAAGAGCCATCAGTGGGTCCATCCTTGTCAGGATTTTTGCCCTTGAGTGGGTCATATCCGATAATCTGCATGAACTCGTCTCTCGTCATCCTTTGGCCAGAATATGGGTGGACCCATTCTTTTGCCTCTGGTATGGTACTGTGGTACCCAAAGGTGAGGCGGCATACCGCACCGTGGCATGCCCACAGTCGCTTCTTGGGACCACCATTCTTAGGCTTCATTGTTCGATGACGGTAAAAGTGGTGGACGAGAGCGATGTCTGTTGTTGGGTCACCCTTGACTCCAATATACATCGAGGGTGCCTCAGGCTCCTTGGGAGGAGAATGGATTAGCATCCCCCTGTATTCATGTTGTCGCATGGTTGCGATCGAATACTCTGACGCAAGTGCTCCTGCCTCGAGTACGAGGGTAATATGAGCTGAATTGTTGAAGCACATGTCAATAAGAGGGTGATAATCGAATCCCTTCTCAGGTTTGAGCTT